GGGGGGCAGGCTTGTAGGGTGTACCCTTTGGTTGGTTGGTGATGCATGGAGGGGATTGCAACCATGGCAATGAAACAATATACAATAGGATGAATGTAAAACTAATGTTCTCCCATGTAAACTATCACATAATTCACAATAAAACATTTTAAAAACTGGATAGAACAGGAATATATATATATAAAGACTAGGCTTACTGATCAGAGACTAGAGGAATCCCAGACAATGACACTTGGTCACCCTTTAGGTCTGGAACTGAATTCACCCTTGTGGCTCAATTTTCAGCCAAGCAATAGATAGACATATAGGGGGATAACAACACTAGTGAGGTATGCACACTATAGAATGGTCAACTGTTCAAGATCAAAAGGGCAGCATTTACCTAAAGACAAAATTCAGAAGCATTGGGAAAGGAGAAATGGAAACGAGAATCACAAGGAAGACGGATAAGTGATGTTACATTGAGGGGATTGCAATTATTGAAATGAAACAAAGGATATGATTTGTTGAATGTAAAACGGATGATCTGCTCTGTTATCCTTCACTCAATTCATGTTAAAAGGTTAAAAAAAATTCCTTGAACAAATATTTACTAAGTACATAGCATGTGCCCAGTAGTGTACCGTGTGCTGGGATACAGCAATAAACAAAGCAAAGTCCGTCTTTTGTAGAGCTCACATTATAATGGGGAGATGAGCAATAACCCAATTGAAATATATGAGTATAGGGACTGGTAATAGGTATATGGGGGGGAAATGGCATAAGAAGAACAGTGAGGGTTGGGAGGTGGAATCTTGTTTTTCTGCTCTGAGAACCCACCTTCCTTTCTCATGTTCATGTTTTTGTTTCCAATCCCCAGTCTCCTGAGTAGTTTGTCCACAAAAGGAAAATGAGATTTTTCTGTAACTTAGTGAAGAAAACATGACAGTCTTATGACTGGAAAGGCAAACAATGTGTGATGCAAACTGAACAAAACCAAAACTTCTGAAAGCAGCTTTTTTCATATCTTATTATTCAGTAATATAACATTCAACTGAGTTTTGTTTTCTATCGAGCAGTTTTTTTATAGTGCTTATCACGAGTGCTTTGTTTGCCCTTTGCTCACCCACGCCTCCCTAAACCATATAAAATGATCAAAGAGAGTCTGGTTGAAATTTCTCATGCAGGAAGGCACCAGTTCAGGGCACTGGAAAAGACTATCTTTTGTTCCAGTCATAATGGATTGGCTTCAGCTCCATCCTCTCTATCTTTATCAAGGGGCTGCTTTCCCTTTGGCACTGCTCTTTAATTATCTCTGTTCCATGGATTCATTTTCCACTCATGCCAGGTAGGCTTGCTGGTTAATTTTACTCTTGACATTTATAAACAATACAGTAGGGAAAAAAGCATGGATTAGACTTCAGATAATGAAGATGAAATATTAATTATACTTCGTGTTCTTAACTTACTATCATCACTACTGATTATTGATTGCTTGAGTGAATATGCATAATACAGTAATATTGAGTAGGGAATTGACTTGTCTGCATTGACTCACAGTCAGAGTTTAATAATGTTGTTGTTGTTAAGTGCCATCAAGTCAGTTCAGATTCATAGCGAACTTGTATAGGATTTCTGAGGAGCAACTGGTGAGTCTTAACCACAACCATTTAAGTTAACAGTCCAGTGTTTATCCTACAGAGCCTCACAAGGTTTATATTAATTGGATAAAGGATGAAAATAAGTCCTCAGAGCAAGAAAACATGATTCCGCCTCTCATCACTGCCATCCTTATCCCATTTTTTCCCCATAGTACCTATTACCAGTCCTTATACTCATATATCTCCATTAATTTATTGCCCATCTCCCCAATATAATGTGAACACTACACAGGAGGGACTTTGCTTTATTTATTGCTGTATCCCAGCACATAGTACATACAATGCTGGGCACATGCTATGTATGCCATGTAGTAAAGACTCAGGTAACTTGAGTTTGCCATCTCAGCTGGAAGAAGAAAGTGTGGCTGCGGACTTCCTGCAGGCTGAGGGAATGGATCAGGACCACAGCACAGAGAGCAAGGATGAAGACATGGCAGCTAAGTCAGGAGGTACCCTCCAGATGGTGAGGTGGTATACAAGAATTTCCCAAACAGTGCCAGCCATGTATCCCAGATGTTCTGGACAGTCCTAATTTCATATAATTTATCATTTTCAATAAAATTAAGTTTTATTTAAAATTTTAACTAAATGTAATTTCTAAGATGCCTCTGAATTATTTTTCGGGGAAATGAAATAATTCAAAATAAATATATCATTCAGATTTAATATATGCCAATTTGGGATTCAAACATTGTCACCAAAGGGCTGCCATAACAAAATACCACAAACTGGATGGCCTATGGAAGAAAAAAAAAAAATGTATTGTCTCACATTTGTGGAAGCTAGACGTCTAAATCAACGTGTCAGCTAGGTCATGGTCTCTCCAAAGTCTCTAGGGAAAGATACTTTCTTCTCTCTCCCACTTTCTGATAGTTCCAGATAGTCCCTTGGCTTGTAGAAGAATCTTTATACACCTGTAGTTAACTTTGTGTTTTTATCTATGTGTCTTTCCTCATTTAAAGGATACCACTAAGATTGGGATTAGGATCCATTTTACTCTAGTACGACCTCATGTTAGCTGTTGCTGAGAGAAGAATTTTAATAGGTTACTACTAATATATGTTTTAACTCTTTATAAAGTTATGGTGTTGGAGGAGAATATTGAGAGTGCCATGGGCTGCCAAAAGAACCAATAGATCTGTTTTGGAAGAAGTGCAGCCTAGAGTGCACCTTGGAGGCCAAGATGGCCAAATTTCATCTCTCATACTTTGGACATATTGTCAGGAGGGACTAATTGCTGGAGAAGGAGGGTCAGAGAAAAAGAGGAAGACCCCCAATGAGATGGATTGACCAAGTGGCAGCATCGATGGACTCAAGCATGGCAATAGAAGTGAGGTTGGCCTAGGATCGGGCACTGTTAGGTTCTGCTGTGCATAAGGTCGCTATGAGTTGGTACTGGCTCGATGGCACTTAACAACAACAACAATAACCATTGTTCCAACATTACTGCCGTATCTTCTCCCTTGTGTATATGCTCCCAGGACATATAGCTGAAGGACTTAGTTGACTAAAACTTTGAAAAAAGAGACAAAATTGGGAGGAGAAAAACCGGAGGAAAGAAAGTGTCTGGCACCAAGGTGTCTGAAGGGGAAAAGGGAGTTACTCCCAGAGTGTTGAGAACCTTGAGCAGATTGCACTCCCAGAAAGGATGGGGCTTTAAGCTCTGAGAAAGGAATGTGACATTAACAAATGGGTTAATTTCCAGGAGGGTAAAAAAAAAACTCCAACCATAGGGGGGAAACCAAGGCAGCCTTTGGAGAAGCATTCTGACTGCCTTCCAAATCTGTCAATAAAACATAGGTTGATTCTCACACCTGGCAGTCAGACTGTCTGGTAAAATCGCTATCTTCAAAGACCTGTTTCCTAGGTGTTTGATCATGTGCACATGTAGTTAAGAGTTAGGACTCCAACATATCTTTCTGGAGAGCACAGTTCAATCCATAACCCCAGTTTTCCTTTTATTTCAGATACCTCTTTCTTCTGGCTGGAGGACACCTCCTGGCCTTGGCTGCCATGGGATCCTATGCTGTGCTTGTCTTCATCCCTGCTCTCTGCGCTGTGGTTCTGATCCTCTCCCTCAGCCCACAGGAAGTCCACAGGCACACTTTCTTTTTCCAGATGAGCTGGCAGACCCTATGTCACTTGGGTCTGCACTACACGGAGTATTACCTTCAAGAGCCTCCTTCCATGAGGTACGGAAAACTGCTCATTTGGTAGTGCATCATGATGTACTGAACCTACCAGGAGTTTGCTTGTGCCACGGTGGTAGTGAGAAAGTCTGGGTGTTGAGTTTGAATTCTCATTCTTTGCATGTGAGCAGTGTGAACTTGAGCAAGTCATTTAACCTCTCTCCACCTTAATTTCCCTTTCTTAAAAAAAGGGGGGGAAGGGAGTGGGATTATGATATATATTTTACAAGATTTTTGTGGGGGATGTAATGAATATACTATGTAATTGTATGACTACTAATAGTTATCACGTGCTGCCTAGGAGCACTCTGTTGACAGGTAACTTTAATTGGCAATGTACCTGAGAAAACTGAGGAAGGGAGGCAGGTAAATCAGGCATCCCAGAACTCGCATATGAAGGGGGCTGGAAGTGACAGAGTGCAGTTTGCTGACCTCAGAGGAGGTGGTTTAGACACGATTAGCAGGACAAAGCCTGCTGCTGCTGTCAAGTTGCTTCTGATTCATAGTGACCCTGTAGAACAGCGTACTGCTTCAGAAGGGTTCTGAAACTGTAAATCTTTACAGTTTTAGCTTTCTCCCATGGAGCAGCTGGTGGGTTTGAAGCAGCCCAATGCTTAGCCACTGTACACCAGGGCTCCTGGTTAACAGGACAAGAACGATATAAATGTCCTGTAAACCCTCACTGCCTTCCCATGCAGCTGTGAACAGAGGCAGCTTCCTTTCATCCAAACTCAGCTGTTCCATTTCCCCAGCAAGAAGGAGGAAAACTCAGGAGCTAATTACAATCTGGTGTGGCACTGTAGGATCCGCACTGGATGGTTTGAACTGCAAGATCACCATCATCTCCTCGGGAACCCTATACAGAGTCACTAGGGGTCAGAACTGACTCCACAGCACTTTACAACAATTACAATCTAGAGAAGTGTTTTCACACATCAGTGAGAATACCAAGATTCAGGGAATCATGTCCCTTTGTGATCTTGAAGTCTGATGTTCCTGGCGTCCTCTGGTTAGCACAACTGATATGAGTCCATGGCCACTAAAGAGAATGCAGGCCATGACCTGTCTCAGTGGGTCACCCATCTGATTCTAGCCTGTCACTGGTTCACTCACTTTGCCATCCCTATCATACCAAGAATCCATTTCTTTATTTGACTATTTTTACCAAAGGCTTCAGCGCTTGCTTCTTTGAAGAAAGGATAAGATGGCAGGTGGGTTGTTGTTATGTGCCGTGGAGTCGGTTCCGACTCATAGTGACCCTGTATAGGGTTTCCAAGGCTGAAATCTTCCACAGGAGCAGAACACCTCGTCTTTCTCCTGCGGAGCCGCTGAACTGCTGCTGACCTTGTGGTTGGCAGCCCAACTCATAACCACTACACTACCAGAGCTCCTTTAGATTAACAGCCCACTTTGTATCCACTGTGCTAGAGAATGGGAAGTACTGACCGGGATGTAGTTAATTAGGATGTCAGTAGGACACACTGACCTGGAAAAGCAAGTTGAACAGGGTCTGGAATGGGAGGAAGGCTGAGTCAGAGCTTAACTAGACAGTCAAGTAAATAGGATGGGTGACATTTCAAGGCTACTTTGCTTTCAAGTTTGGGGTTTTTTAAGTCCCTGAGTGGCACAAATGGTTAACATGCTAAGGTGCTGAACGGAAGGTTTATGTCCTTCTACAGGCACCTTGGGAGAAAGGCCTGAAAAATCAGTCATTGAAAAGCCTGTGGAGCACAGTTCTCCTCTGAGGTGTTCATGAGGCAGAAGTAACTCAGAGACATCTGGTGTATGTGTGTTGCTTTTAGTTAGAATAAGTCAAGTGAGGTGACCCCCACCCCACTGCCGCCAAGTTGATTCTGACTCCTAGTGTGACCTTATACCACAGAGCAGAACTCCTTTGTGGGGTTTCTGAGGCTGTAAATCCTTATAGGAGTAGACAGTACTGACCAGTTAACAACCCACTGCACCACCAGGGGTCCTTCCTGAGGTGAACACTTGTCCGTAAATCCTTAGACACAGAGGAACAGCAGTGGTTGGGGAAAAGTGCTGTTTTCACTCCACAGGGACATTATTCCTGATTGTAGTGTATGTCACAATAATTTTCATCATCGGTCTTGCCAGCAGGATCATTTCTGCTCTGTGATGGCAAAGCAGCAATGTAATAATTCAAATTCAGGTGATTGGTTTAGAACACTCATCAGATTGTTAATGACTCAGTGCATATCCTTGAGCCCCAAGGTGCTTGATGTACCATTCCTCAGAAAAAGCCCAAATCATGCACAGTTTTACATAGGGCTTGGTTTATATTTTAAATCTTAAACTTCCTGAAATCTTCACTATTAATTTTTTATGTCTTCTATGGAAGTTTCCTCCCAGGCTCTTTTCCAGTCCCTGAGACAAATATTTTAAAGCTTTTCTTAGAAATATCATCATCAATGTTTACTTCAATAAGCCATCAGCAATATAATCATCAATATGTTATTCTTAAATTTATAATGATGAATTTCCCCATGTAACTTTTGATCCACCTTTTCCCCACTCCCCACAGTAACCTGTGGTTCTGCATTGATCTAGCAGTCTTTGTGGAGCACAGCTGGTCATGAAATGGAGGTTCAGTGTTCACAGTCCCCCTTGGCTGTGGGATCATGTACAAGAGTCTAGAAAGGGATAGGGAAGATATTAAATATGAAGTATTTTTACACTAAAAAAAAAAAATCTCTTTCAGGTTCTATATCACTCTTTCTTCCCTTATGCTCTTGACGCAGAGGGTCACGTCCCTCTCTCTGGACATTTGTGAGGGGAAAGTGAAGGCAGCATCAAGAGGAATCAAGATCCAGAGCCTTTTGTCTGAGCATCTGCGGGAGGCACTGCCCTATTTCAGCTACTTGCTCTTTTTCCCTGCCCTCCTGGGAGGCCCTCTGTGTTCCTTCAAAAGATTTCAGGCTTGTATTCAAGGATCTAGCTCTTTGTGCCCTGGGCATTTTTTCTGGGCTCTGACCTGGAAGGCTTTGCAGATTCTCGGGCTAGAGTGCCTAAAAGTGGGCCTGAGGTGGGTGGTCAGTACAGGAACAGGACTGGAGGATTGCCAACAACTTGAGTGCATCTATGTCATGTGGTCCACAGCCAGCCTCTTCAAACTCACCTACTACTCCCACTGGGTCCTGGATGACTCCCTCCTCCATGCAGCTGGCTTTGGGTCTGAGTTTCCTCAGAGCCCTGGTGAGGAAGGATACGTCTCAGATGCAGACATTTGGACCCTGGAGACAACCCACAGGATATCTATGTTCACGAGGAAGTGGAACCAAAGCACGGCTCACTGGCTCAGACGGTTAATATTCCAGCACAGAGAAGCCTGGCCACTGTTGCAGACATTTGCCTTCTCTGCCTGGTGGCATGGCCTCCACCCAGGACAGGTGTTTGGGTTCTTCTGCTGGGCCGTGATGGTGGAAGCGGACTACCTGATTCACACCTTTGCCAATCGGTTTATCAGATCCTGGCCCGTGAGTCTGATCTATAGAACTTTCGCCTGGGCCCACACTCAGCTCATAATTGCCTACATCATGCTGGCTGTGGAGGCACGGAGCCTCTCTTCTCTGTGGTTGCTGTGTAATTCTTACAATAGTGTCTTTCCCATGGTGTACTGTATTTTGCTTTTTCTATTAGCAAAGAGAAAGCACAAATTTAACTGACATCTTTTCCTGATTGTCACCTGAAATATCCAGGAAACAGTTGAAAAGTGTCAGATGACGTCATAATGATGTATATGTATGAACTTTCCATAATGGTTTTTTTTTTAAGTCTTAAATATTGTTACGGATTAAGTTGTACCCCCCAAAAATTACATGTTGAAGTCCTGACCCTCAGTGCCTGTGATGTGTCCTTATTTTCAAACAGGATCATCACAGACATAACAAGTTAACAGATCAAACTAGGGTAATAAGATGGGCTCCAATCCAATATGAGTGGTGTCCTTAAGAAAAAGGAGAAAATACAAGTAGACACGGACACAGGAAAAGCCCATATGCAATGAAGGAGCTAGACATTGCTTATTTTAAACGCAATAGTGGTTATGAGTCGGGCTGCTAATCTCGAAGTCAATGGTTTGAAGCTACCAGCTTTTCTGTGGGAGAAAGATGAGGCTTTCTGCTCCAGTAAAGATTTACAGCCTCGGAAAACCTATGCAGGGTCGCTGTGAGTCACAACTGGCACACCAACAACAACAACAACCACTAGGTGGCATACTGACCAATTCCCTCGTTAGAATCCGGCACTTTCAATTTGCATGGTCTCACCTAGTCATCTGGTGGGAATTATAAAGACTATGGCTACAAGACAAGGGAGCTACAAGACAAGGAATGCCTGGGGCTACCAGAATCAAGACAAGAGGATCTTCTTTGTCTTTGGATAGCACTGCCCTGTCCACATCCTGAATTCTGTCTTCAGGCTTCCTGAACCGTAAGAGTAAATTTCTGTTGTTTTTAAACACACAGTTTATGGTCCTTTGTTATGGCAACCCTAGGAAACTAAGACAGAAACCCAATCTTAGCAAACAAAACCTAACACAACAAGCAACCAGGACGTTGGTGAGCATAAAATCAATTACTCACCAAGTCTACTTTGACTCATAATGACCTTTAAAAATGGTATTGGAGCACCAAACAACCTCCTCTGACTTCACAAAGGGGAAGGAGAATCAAACTCATCAGCCTAAGACTGATTCCTTTGATGCAAAGGTCAGACATGGCCTCCACCCTTACCAGTTCTGACTCCAACCATCCCATCCAAGAAGGCACTCTTATTGAGTTCACTATCTGTTACTATGGTCACACAGAACTCACAGACAATACTCACAATTTGGGACTGTGAGAAACGTTGTTGATACTGACAAACACTCAAGAAATCCAATCTGTACTCATTTTCGTGAGAGTGACACTGGGGGAGGGAAAATGGATGTTCAGGGTAGATTGTAAACTTCATTTGTTGTTATTAAGCGTCATTCAGTCGTTTCCAACCCATAGTGACCCTGTGTAGGGTTTCCAAGGAGCAGCTGGTGAGCTTGAACCACTGACTTTGCAGTCTGGCGCATTAACCCACAGCGTCACACCAGGACTCCTGTATACGTCATGTTGTTGTTGTTGTTATGTGTCGTGGAGTCGGTTCCGACTCATAGTAACCCTGTACAGGGTTTCCGAGGCTATAAATCTTTACGGGAGCAGAAAGCCTCATCTTTTTCCCGCGGAACAGCTGGTAGTTTCGAACTGCTGACCTTGCGGTTCACAACCCAATTCGTAACCACTACGCTACCAGAGCTCCTATATACTTCATAGTACACACTATAAGGGCAACTGAAAGAGGTGTTTTTTGTTTTGTTTTATTGTGAATTATGTAATAGTTTACATGGGAGAACATAAGTTTTACATTCATCCTATCATATATCGTTTCATTGCCATGGTTACAATCCCCTCCATACATCATCAACAACCAAAGGGTATACACTACAAGCCTGCTCCCCCGCTCCCTCCCAACCCCCCGGTTGTCAGCACACAGCCCCTCTCCCTCTCTGGTTCTAGACTCCCCAACCTCTCCATCTCTCCATATCATCTTCTCTGCCTCCATCTCTGGCATCACTGTTTCTCTGGGTAGGGTCCCACTCTCCACTCTTCTCCCTTGATGGTCCCAGGGACCTCCGCTCCTAGACTGCAAAGTCAATTACCCCTCCTTTTGCTACAAAACATCTACCTTTACATTTCCAACCCTCACAATCAGCCCTGATAACAATTATTCACTATCGTACCACAAGAGACCTATCCCCATCTCCTTTCATCAGCCCCGTCCAGACAGATTAGATACTACACTATGGAGATTTTACCTTCCTTCCTGCCCTCTGGATCTAGGCTCCATTTTGAAAGCTAGTAAGCCTGTTACTTCTTGCCTTTGTAGCCTCCCCACCCCCATTTTGGATCGCCAATATCCAAGTTGCCCATTCCTGTCTACTCTGTGTATGAAGGGGGTGAGAATGATCCTCGCTGTAAAGATTTGGTCCCTCTTTTGAGCTACTGCATCCATATGTGTAGGTCAAGTTCATCAAATTATATCAGATTACTTTTTTCTCCCCTCTTCTTTTTTTTTTTCTGGTTGAGCTCTGATCATCCAGTCATTGAAGCCAGGTCAAGTGTGTATTATCTGCAAGTGTGGGTGTTCTTATGCATATGTCCTCTCTTCTTATCAGCTGGATGTTTCACTCTCTACTCTTGTCCTTTGTGGCTATGTCCCTGACTCTGGGCCCAAGAGTCCCCAGGTCTTGCCACACTGCTGGCCAACCAGGTCTGCACCCAGGTTCACAGGAGTCTATTGAACATTGTAGGGCTTAGCTTGCAGCTTCATTGCTGTTTCTCCCTCACTTCCTCTTATCGGTGTTGAACATGGTCACCAATCAGAGTGCATGTCTGCTCGTGCATTCCTATTGAGTTTTAGTCTTGGAATGTAGTTTGCCCTGAGGGGACCCAACCACTTGCCTTGATGTCTCTTGGGCAGGCAACTTGCTTGTTCTTGTAGTAGTCAGTCGGACAGCTGCTATTGTTTTTATTTTTCTCTGTTGGTCTTTCTTTCAAGAAGTATCTTCTGTTCTTCTAGCCACTCCAGGCTTGTCTGCTTGTCCTTTCAAGTGGAAATTTCCCACCTCAGAAGACTCTGGATAGGGTCCAGGATTCTCCCTATGGTTTTATGTAATGTAGAGGATCTGCAGGAAGCCGCCTTCACTGGACACATTGTAGCCCCATTTTAGGTATTCTAATCAGTTATAGGCGGAAGAGGGACATACAAGCTTTCTATGGTGATATTTCTGGCTATTCCATTCTCTCCCCCTCAAGTGTCTATTTTATAATGTTATGCCAGGGAAACCAAGATTCAAAAGACAGCCACGCATTTTATCATTGTTGTTGTCAGGTGCCATTGAGTCGGAACTGACTCATAGCCACCCCATGCACAGCAGAACGAAACAATGTCC